CGGGCCCGCACCTAGGTGTGTCACCGCACCTCCTGGTCCACAACATACAGCTGACCAGGATTTTCCACCACCATCAACAACAAAACAACAACACCCCAACAGGGGTCGGAAGGACGAGAATGACGACTGGGCTGCCATGCCCACCACCTGTACACCCAGCGGGAGTGTCGGCGCACCTACCGGCAGGGAACTATCAGCGCACAACAGACTGCGAGGCTCATGGATTGCTGATACTGGCATAGCACACGCTTCCAGACTTGTTGACCAGTTAGCCAACGAAAGTGACTATTAAGTACCGATTGCAGAGGAACTTTGCTGTCAAAACAATTTATTCGTCTGACCATTTGATGCAGACACTCAGAGGGCAGGCATGCCGTAACATATAGTTCTATTCCGGCCCTACTTGCAGTCTTTTCTCCGATTGGCTCGTGGTCTCTGAAGGATGGAGGGTACATCTTCCGGAAGACTTTGAAGGCCCGAGCTGGGCACGATTAATGGACTGAAAGGTCAGCCAAGTAAATCGGCTCACCCCAAGATGGTTGTCAATTTATTTTCCGTAAGATGCGCACGGCGAATGAAATATCAGAAATGTATATGTGGGACGGCAGTTTCAATGACAGCTAGTGGCCCTAAGGGGAGTGTTGTTTGCTGGGAACAGTTTCCATTATTTCACATAACCAGCGGCCCAGTACTGACGAACAAAAGCAAAATTATCGAAAATTGACTGGAATGTCCACATGCTTACAAGCAGTCAATTTGAGTAGATAAGGCTGGAAAACGGTTTGGCATGAACAGTACTCCCGACTATATTTGTAAATAGTAAATTACCAGTATTTGATTGGTCTTCTTTCCAGCAACCTGGGTAGATTTTACCTGAGAAAAATCGCTACATCAGAAGGGTAAATGTTTACCAGGGTTTCGATACCTGTAAGCATTCGTTTTTTCCCTGGATCGTTGTGTAGAAAGTCCATATCTATAGTGATTTTGTTAGCATTTTTGTCGTCTCTAAACTTGCGCTTAAGGAAACAAGTACTTCAATACTGTGAAGGTTGGCCAATGTCTCCATACTTCAAAAAAATAAACCGAGTTTTGCGTTTTCTTAAGGCCTCTTGACTACATACTGCATCTGTTGGTGGAAACAGTCGATGTACGCCTTCATGTTCCTACGAAGTTCTCCTGTTGTTTATAATTTACTGTGGTAGACGTGGTTCATGCTGTGCGCTTTAGCAAGCCACTTCAATAAACTGGATTCGACTACACCAAGGTTTCAACTAGTCTCGTGATGAATTTTTCAAGACAGAAAGGCATCCTTCTTTCAATCAAAAAAATTCGAAGACGTGATTCTCTGCAAACTTGCTATAAAACATTAACTTTTGAGCCTTTTCAGAAAATACGATTTGAAATTCACCGACCTCAGACGTTCACAGGAAAATACAGATCGCTTAATTAGTAGCCTTCTCGAGCGTACTTTACCCGTCGTCTACAAAGATGGTCATTCAGAATGTAGGATGTTACTACAGTGCGTGACCGACCTCATGAAATGTTGGCCAAAATTCTGCAATGCGTTTCCGATTAGGAAAGATTTCTTAATTGAGGTTGTTATACAGATTATCATGCAGCATAACTCTATAACATTTCGGACTCATCAGGGTGTCGGCTTTTGAATGCACTTATTTTTGCTCTCCTACAGAAGCCACACTTGGCACAAAATGACAACTTAGGCAGCATGTGTTTTTCCTACTGATTTTCGATGATCTTATAAATTCAAATATATTTTAAACAGAACATGCATGAAATATGCTTTCTTTTGCTCATTTGGTAGGAAATCACATTGCTTTCATATTTTATGCCCGAAGAAAGTGCGCATTTTGGTTTTAAAAATGTTTCCCAATTCCCGAATAACTTTTAGCCTGATCTGCTGTTGCATCAGCGTTTAGCAATTTCAGTCTACAAGGTGCACGCTTTCCGCGTAAGGAAAATCATATATTCCTCTGTGCTTTTAAGAAGGTATCACATAGAGTTCATGAAATTTTGCAATGGATCCGGACTGTGTTGTACATTTCATGAGAAGTATTAGTAAACGGACATGGGCGGCCTCGCATTCATGGGTATCGCACGGTCTTCAAAATTTCATAATTAAAAACTTTATTAAAACCAAAATACACAGGTTTTCGGGCAGAAAATATGAAAACAATGTGATTTCCTTCCAAATGAGCAAAATAAAGCATATTTTGTGATGTTCTCTTGAAAATATATTTGAATTTATAAGACCATCGAAAATCAATAGGAAAAACACATGCTACCTAAGTAGTCATTTTATGCCAAGTGTTGTTTCTGCAGGAGAGCAAAAATAAGTGCATTCAAAAGCCGACACCCTGATGAGTCCGAAATGCTATAGAGTTATGCTGCATGATAATCAGTATAACAACCTCAATTAAGAAATCTTTCCTAATCGGTAACGCATTCCAGAATTTTGGCCAACATTTCATGAGATCGGTCACGCACTGTATATAGGACCTGAGGAAATTAAAAACTTACGATTTCCGAACTAGAAAGCACACGGAGAATTCTGGGGGACCTATTGAGGAGCCGAGCACCTCGAAATCGTGTAACGCAGCGGAGAATATTGGCGAAACACGTGTCTTTGCTTTTAGGTAGCACCTACTATATATGAATATACATGTTACATGCTAAGCCTTCTGAAAACATTGTATAAGTCGCCTTCTCCATTTGAAGGCATGGCAATAGCTTTCGGTTGATGTTTTAGCAATTGCGGCGGAGCCAGATGTATGCGTTATCTTATGCCGTTAATGGCCGCATTGACACACACAGAGTATTGACTTCTAGTTTTAGCAGTGAGCGGTGAACTCTCTGCCGCTATACATGTTCGGTTATGAAGAAAGATGAGGTTTGGTCCTGCAGCCCCACTTGATTGATATCATATGATTAGCTTTCAAAAAAATTGGTAGATGCGAATGCGCCGACTTTACATATCACGTATTTGCATCTTTCTTTCCATTTTAATCCAGCAAGTGACTGTGTCACGGTGGGAGGAATGTTTATACGCCAGCCTCAGTTACTTCAGTTATCAGTTCACACACGCTTCCCTCCGCGTGGCTGGAGCCTTGCTTGTGCTCTTTTCATTATCCTAACCCAAGGAATGGTCAAGTAGGCTTGCTAGTCGAAATGTTCCGACGTTGTGGAACTCAGCCGGTTCCACTGTGCACTGTGAATTACCATGCAGTACCCTCAGTGGCATTCCAGTTGTGATTGCATCCCTATATCCGCTTAATCCGGAGAGTGCCTGTGCTGAGGGGAGTGTGTACAGGCCACCTTCACTCGCTTCCCTGCGCATGCTTCGGGCTCTGATTGCGTTCTCTTTCCCTTCCTAGTCCAGTGAATGGATAAGTTAGGTATGTCAACTAATATTGTTTTAGTATGCTAACCATATGGTATCAATCGTGTAAGGCTGCAGAACCCAACCGCACCCAAAAAGGACTGAAACGGCTAGAAAAACATCCGGCCGCCAATTAGTGACCCTTTCAAAGTTTCCGCTCGAGTTCTGTTGAACCAGCCACTCTTAGGCACGTTTAGATCAGATCACTTGGGTTGATGTACTTCGTGCCTGTGGGTAGGTAAACCCAGCAACAATAAACCGATCTGCATGTAAACGCGGTTTCAATAAAATTGTGTGATTAAAAAAATTCAAATCCTGCACTCATAATTAAATTTCTCCAAACATACAGTCATCAAAACAGTATAAAACTGCGCGGAAATAAAATGAATTGGTCACATAAATTAGAGGGAAATTGGAGAACAAGAGGACGACATGGTTTTTCGAATGAAAGGGCAAAACTTCAAATAAGCTGTAACCAGTGTCAATGAATGTAGGAAGATATCCGTCCTCAACCAGAGCATTATGGTCAACCAGATGAAGCACCTTACTGCTAACGTCAAAAACGTGTTAACGAAGTTCCAGTGTTGTTATCAAGCAAACAGAGATACGCTACAGTCAAGGAAAGTGGTAGTTTGATGGGGGGAAAGCATACTTGGGAACGTACAGGTAGTATTAACTTTTCAAAGTGAGTAGCCACATTCGTCGGGATTGTCGACACCGACTGGCGCTAAACGGCGACTATAAGCATGAAAGCAAATGAAGGCTTCCTGAATTTTCGTTCATAGATACGCCGCTGACGTAATGCGATTCTTTGGATTTAAAGGCACATTGGTGCTGACAGCAGATGGTATTGCCGAATAGCACGGATAAACGTGAAACAAAAAGGCAGTGCGTGTGGTAAAAATAGGCGACTCCTGTTGTTGGAGTGGAAAATAGTCTAATGCTAGGAGGTACGTAAAACGCTTACCCAATTCAAAGTTATTTCGATACTGACGAAATTAGATACAACATCTTTGAAATAGTTCCACAAATATTCCCATGTTACACTTAAAAAGTCAAGCTGGCTAGCATGTGTTTTCGGTAATTCTTCATCAGGCTAATGAAGGAACAAAAATGTACAAAATTAACAACGTTTATGGCTGTTCCAAGGGCTATTAAGTCATTAACACTCATCTTCCCCACGCCTCCCGCATGACGAGGTCGACGGGTTTTGGTCTTCAGGCCTAGGGGGGGGGGGTAAGAGAGTATTTGATTGATGTTCTTGGATTGAGTACACGGAGCACCCATCACTGTAATCAGGGATTTGGGGCGGCATGTCGTCATCACGTGAGGTTGGCGGTGGCCACGGCAGAGGGCGCTTGTGTCAGAGTTTTCTGACAGCATAGCACCGGATTCGCTAGCCGTATAGCCACTGCCTCGGCCGTTGTTAGTACCCGTTGGCGTAGGCCTTTAGAGAAGCTTGTTGGTGTCCGATAGACAACCTGAAATACTTCCTCGGCATCGACTCGGTGATCCGTATCGATGAAACTTGCGGGAATAGAACTCGAAACCGAACGGGCCTCACCTCTGTCTAGCCAAGCGGCCATATGTTCACGCACCCTCTTTACCAGGCGTCTCGTTGTACGGCCGACGTATCCTGCTCCACAGGAGCAAGTGAATGAGTAGATGCACGTTGATGTGGCCTCAAACGGTAGTCTGCCTTTACCTTCCAAACGTAGGAGGGAAGGGTTTGTGAAACATAGGCGTAAATTCGCCGCGGGAATGCTTTCGTGACAGCTGCAGTGAAGCGCCGTCTGACTAGTTCGCTCGCTGCGTCCCCTGCAAAAGGCAGTCTTATGAGTACATCTTTCTTTTCCGCAGTCGCAACAGTGGGCTTTGCAATGCGTTCCCCAATATTTCGGAGGATAAATCTATCCGGATATCCGTTCTCGCAAAGTGTGTTCCTCAGCTGTTGGAGCTCTGCTTCAATAGCTTCAGGTGAGCAGATGCGCCTCACTCTAGCTGCCAATCCCTGGACTAGATTTTGTTTGATGTTGAGGGGAACAAAACTGTGGAAATTAGTGTATTGTCCCGTCCAGTTTTTCTTTCGGAACACCCTGCGCTGGATAGACCCATTCTCCTGCCTGTGTAGAAGGACATGGAGGAACACAATTTCGTTATCTGCCTCAGAATCAGCAGTGAACTTTAGCGAGGGGTGCGCTCTGTTGAACTTTTGGACAAGGGTGTCGATATTGGTGGTACCATCCACCAGACAGAAGATATCGTCCATAAAAGACCAGAAAAGACGAGGTCATCAATGGCATCTTGTAATCGTGTCTTCTCAACTTTGTCCATAAAAACATTTGCAAGGAACGGTCCAGGAGGTGATCCCACTGCCACGCTATCTATTTGTCTGTATAGTTGACCATTGCACAGAAGCTGGACATTTTGTGTGCAGCGCGTCACAAAATTTCACAAAATGTCATCTTGGACATCATAAACTTAGGATCTGATGTTAGGATCCTTTCCCAAACAGGCGCTCACATATTTAAGTAGTTTGTCTAGCTGACTCTGTGAGTAATGCTGTTTCAAAAGTTAGCGGGCTGTCTGACATATGACAAGGAAGGGATCGATTGTCCCTCGCTGGTGAACTGAACCTGTTTTCAAAAATTCTTACAATTTGCTGTTCACTCAAAAATAAGAACAGTTTCTTAGACTTGAACAGCAGAAGTATTTTTGCAGTGGCCACTACAAGCGCCCATTCATTCTCTATGTTCGTATTATGGCGGTTCTTTTGAAATGACTTTCCATCGGTAATTTCAAACAAGTGCTTCCCTTATTCTGTGTATGTCAAAAAACTTATCCACTGGCATAAGGCTACAATGACCTGTTTTAAGTTAAAGGAGGATTGACCGATAGGGTCTAACGGAGAATTCATGGAGAGCCCTGCCTTTTATAAGTAACCCCGACTTAAATTAGCAATTCTGTCCGTAAACGGCATCACGGGACGGGATCATTACATGGGCAAGTGAGCTTTTGGTTTTCGAATGTGCATACTCGCAAATCCGGTGCAATAGAGGCGATACTTGACATGAGAGAACTGCTTATCTATCCAAGAAATGTTCCACAATCATATCCGCGAAAATTCTTTTATTTTGTTTACGATATTTTCTAGACCGCATCTCAAGCAGCGGGATTGGATTCCCATAACAAAGTCATATGAAAAAATGTACTGTCAAACAATCAAATGCGTATGTTCCCTTCAACGGCTCAGATGACACACCCACGAGCAGTGGAGACTGCGGGCAGATCATGTGGAGACTTTCATAAAGTTGTTAAGGTAAATTATGTAGATCCTGGCCTCCTCCTTCTCCGACGAATTCCTACACGTAGACTGTGTGGGAACCCTGAAAGTTGCATAAACCGCGTTAACTTTGGAGCTAGACAGGCGAAATTAACACAACTCGTCATTAATACACAGAAAGGACTACACAGGGAGATAGTCATAACCCCTTCCCCCTCATTTGATCGTCCGTAAATAAAGATCTTTACTACAGGCGACAGTCTGTCTGCTCTCCGTTGAAGTATGTTCGCCCCAAATCGGGGTTAAAGTCAGGACTGGATGGGAATGTATTATTACCATGTCTGTTATGTACGCATTGGTATCATATCCTGGCATCGGAAACTAACGCAAATCAGCTGCTGATGTAACAACGTGCCAGTTACATGTATGCGGTAGCAAATAAAAGGTTCCCAGGGATCTGTTGGGTCATTGCCGCTATTCCTTCGTCCTGCAACTAGGCTTTACCCTCCACAGTTAACACACTTGCGCGTGCTTAGCGCTTCTTTACGGGCTATTTTCGTTGTTCCACCGAGCGCAATCCCTACCACTGTTTTTGTTACGTGGACGTCTTTGCCCCTTAATTCCCTCAAAAGAGTGGTTGTTGTAGAATATTTTTAGTTTGGTGGGGGCGCATCTGTAAAATAATGATTTTGGATCGATACTTTTAGTCGGGAAACTGAGAACTAATTAACTGGACCTAATGTGAGTAATATTTTACTCCGCCAGGTATGACATGTTTTTGCGAAAGAATAAACTAGAGATAAATGTGATCTTCACGAAATTACGCAGACTGAGAAGTGGATTTTCTGTCTTGCGCATAATATACAAGCAAGAATGCAATCACACATGAGTACTCTACAATAAGTCTTCACTTCTCAATGAATTTTAACCCATGTCTTAGCGCAGAAGCCCTCCAGGAATTGCGTTCTCTAGTAAACAACACAAAAATACGTTCACAAAAGGAACTGCTGAGATTCAACTGCATTTAGCTACTCTCAATGCTTTATTACCCCTACGGCTATTCCACTTAATAAACATGACCGTCCGACCGTCGCGGAAAACGAGATCCACCGATGTCCCACGAAGTGGACCCATCAGTAACTTTCGTGTAGTTCTCTTTATAGTGGAGCAGATCTACGTTCCATCCGCCTAACTTCCGTTTCCAGCACCCACCATGCTCCGATAGCAAGTCAAGACGACCAGAGGTTGGTTCAGCCACAGTAACTGACATGCCTCAGCAGCGTATCTACGCGTGCTACACACAACCTGGTGCCTGCCCCATATATGTTAAGATACGTTTAGTCAGGAGTTTCCGATCTTACGTGTATGATGTCGCCATAAAGATTATAGTGGTAAGTAGTGCCTGCAGTCCGAACTTGATTCCTAACCAGGACAGAGTTACCACGTCACTTGGCAACCTACTGAACTGCGACTGGTAGCGCGTTGGGACGTAATCAAGCATATACGATTTATTATAGTGACGAATTCTCAGATTTCCCGTGAGGATAAATTTCCCAGGATCAGCCTAACACATTCTTCCTTCTCCCATTCATTGCTCGACTTCCCAAGGTTGTCAACTAACCGGTAGCAGGATTATGCGCAGTGGCTGAGGTGACCTAAAAGCTGTCATCTAAGGCACGCAAGACGGCAGTAGCTAAAGGCTCGCGCAGGCTCGGTACGCATTCCGAAAAATCCGTGCCCGTGTGTCTTCCAAAAGCAACCTGCTATGCTTATCCTGCCAAATTATCTGGTTGGATACGCGAATATGGATCCCCTGTATTACAGGTGACCTTGTCCCGTATTCCAGAGGGGGGAAGGGTGTAGTTAGGGCTAGGGCTTGTGATGAGTTTAGGTTTCGGGTTAGGATCAGGGTCCAGTAAGTACTTAGAAGTGAATGCAACCCCAATCGTCACGTTGATCCTTTGGAATCCCTTACCAGTTGTAATAAGTGCTCCAGCCGAAGGTTCAGAAGATTGAGTGGGATGCCCTAGAGGATTCTACCTGCAATGTTGAGGAGGGAATGCCACGTAGCTATCGCAGATTTAGCGATTTCCTTGAATTTGCTTAGGCTGGTGATGATGACATACTCAGAATACTAGGCTACTTGTCCTTGTCTTCCCATCTCCCCAAATATCCTGATTAGTTACTCAATGAACTGAGGACCGTCTTACTTGAGGATTTCAGACTGGATTTCGTCGGCTCTGGACGCCCTGTCTTGGCTGGAATTGAGTCAGTGTCTTCTAGTGTGCCCCTAAACATCCGTTGTGCAGCTTTGATGCTCTCTCACTAAGTGAGTGGTCAATCGAGGTCTTCGTTGGCTTTGATTTGAGGGAGTTTGTGGACGGATTCTAAGAGCGTTGTGGATGGGGAATGGGGGATGCCTTTAAAATGCTCAGTCCAGGGCCCCAGATTGGTTGCTCCGCCGGACACGAGCAGTGAAGCTGTTCCAACGGCTTGGGGGTCGCAGACCGCTTTGATAGACTTGAAGCAGTTCTTCACTTATTTACGGCCTGTGTACACTTGGATTTCTTCAATCTTGCGAGTCGCCTAGGTATTTTGTATCTCTCTCCAGCCTCTGCTTACTGCGGTTCAGTATCGGAAATGCGATATTTTATTGCGTCAGTTTGGGTGTTAGCGTGGGTTTTGTGTGATCTGTTGCTCTCGGAGAACAGGCTTTGGATTTCTTCCCTGTTGCCATTGAAGCAGTTCTGGCACTGTCAACGTGACGTACTGCAGTCCCTCCATAGGGTCTCGATGGTTGCATGCTGCTCTAGGGCGTCCATTTGTTCCAATATTAGATATATGCAATTGCTGAAATCCAATCGGCGTTCAGTCGTATGCAATTGCACAACGCGTAATGGGCGTTTTGGTCGATCTGAGTGATTCATTTAACTCAGTTGTGAAAAACTCGGTGACCCCGGTGGGATTCGAACCCACGACAGCCCGTCTACAGTGAGCCTGGTAGCCATTTGGTGGATTCTATACTTACATTCTGCTTAGGAAACTCAGCTTGGACAGTCAGCTTACTGGATCAGAATTGGTTGGTATCATATGTTGCCGTGGACTGGGTGGGTAACTTTACCAAAATGAGATTTACCTCACGCCCCCTTCAGCCAGGGCCTTGTAGCTCAGGTGGCTAGAGCGCTGGCTGTACTTAAGCCTTGTGCTTGTTGGCCTGGGACGTGAATCTCATCGGAACTACCGTACTTTGCACAACTTATTTAAATGCATGCAGTATTTGTCTTACCGGAGGTTGTTCTGTGATGCGGTCGTCCAAGAGGTTGTGCATGAAGTTGTGTTTGCCAAGACAGTAGTCTCCCCAGCATTCTAAACATTACATGGTCTTTGGTTCTACCAAGTCGTGCTGGTCAGCACCGAACGCGGAAGTATTCCAGCAGCCGCTTGTGACATGAAAAGGGATGAATGAACATCCTCTTATGCCACTGGAAGCGAAGAGACGAGTCCCGGGAAGCAGTCATGAAGAAGGAGACGTGATCGTAGGGACAAGAACTTTATTCGTCTGACGTTTCGAATTCCTGCTCGAACCCATAATCAGAGACAATAGTAGATACGGGTAGTTCATGCACAAGGGGTCGCAGTATTTATAGAATGCAGTCGTCATGCTACCGCATACCTATGAATATTCGCGGCTCCCCCCCCCCCCCTTCATCAGGGATCGTTGTGCTTGGGGGGATGACTGTTTGATGGTCGATATTCACGTCGTCAATTGCTGAAATTTCATCCGCACTGCAGTGCGGAGAAATGACGCCAGCTCTCAATTTGCGGCTCAATCGACGAGATCCGGCCGAACATTCATATTCGACGGGACCCAAATTCTCGGTACAGGTGACAACTGAGGGGGCCGCGAGCTGCTTTAGTCATGATTCACTGGCCCCAGTCTATTAACAAGTGCAACGACCATCCCCTTCCATACTCGGTGCTGAGAC